ACTTGAACCTAGTGAGAGAATATGTGACATTTCAACTCTACTGAATGTATGTGAAAAGAATGGAGGGGAAAATAGAAAAGAAAGATAACCCCTTCTAACAGTTACATTTTTAGAGCAAGCACAATGATCCTTGAACATATTTGAAAACTCAGATGTCTTACTTTCTCATTTCTGAGGCAAAATACCTGAACCTCACTAGCTAAAGAGAGGTTTATTTTGACTAATAGTTTGTAGAGGTTTTAGTCCATAGTCATCTGGCTCCAAGGCGGGGCAGCATTGCAGGCAGGCACAGCAAAAGAGAACAGTCCATGGTGTGGCAGGCAGGAGGCGGCGAGGCTTCCTTCTTTCCCTACAAGCCTATGGGTCAGTCCCTCTTCAGTGAATCCAGCCCTCACACCCAGAACTATGCTAAACCAATCAGTGCACTAGTCCTATATCACACATCCAAGATCCATAAAGTCCCACCTATGAGAACATGAGGCTTTGTGGTGACGTGTAGATACCAGCCATAACATGGATTTCTTATTTCAGTAGGGTATCACAGAACCCCAAAACTCTAGAAAGAATGAAACTTTAGAAAGAATGTGTTTATTTCTGAATATTTCTTAGGGACAAGGCCATTTGATAAACATTGTGGAGATTTAGGATATACCTATGTATGAGGAAAGAATGAGGTTTGTGTTCCATAGCAGAGAATACAAGATTTGATTTTTAATTAGATGGAACTATTTTAAGCTCAGAGTTTATGGATCTATCAATTTGCGAACCACCAAAAACATTTGATTTTCCATTTTTTTCAAACCCCCTGAGTCTAAGCCTTTGATGGGGAAGAGTTGGGAAGGAAGTAAAGAAGAGGGTGAAGAAGGGCTTTCCTTCCTTAAATGTGGGGCTAAAGCAACGAGAATTTGCACACTTTCTGTACCAGGCAGCTATTCATTTGCTGAGTCAGAGTAGAGGTGAGTTTTATAACATCTTCCTCCCAGAGAGCTGATGACAAGTAGTCGTATCCCTTCTTCCTCCCCTGCCTTCTTCACTGGCATGACTTCTCCTGGGAGTCACTACACCTTTTTTGTTGTTTCTGAGTCACTACTTTAAAATGTTGGGACTTCGGCGTGCTCAGAAGAATGGTGGAGAGGGTTTCACAAACTTAGGGTATTTGAGACTGATGGGGCCAGAAGACATTTCTTAGCATGCACACAGCTTACTCATTTGAGCAAGGCCCTTAACTAGATACAGAATGGGCTTTTATGAAAATCTGAAAGGAAGAAATTGCTTTTCATCAAGTGTGCTTACTATATGTCCCCAGTGTGCTCATGATGGACTATTCTCTGGTGAAATAGAAAAATACAAGCTGAGGAGTTGATAGCATAGTTTAGTAGTAGAGCACGTGCTTGGTATGCACAAGGCTCTAGGTTCAATCTCCTTCGCCAGAGGAGAGGGGAGGGGAGGGAAAGAGAGGAAAAAAGTATAAGATATGAAAACCTCTTCTCCAAAACTCCTCTGAGGAACAGTGATTTGGAATTGGCATTTAGCCTTTGAATGTGGTTCAGTCCCTGAAAAATGGGACACCAACAACACTGCTGAGGGTTACTGGAAGACTTGAATTACAGCAAGTATGTGAAATCATTGTTCAGTGTAAGTCTGATACCAATGGTGTTATTTTTTAATTTTTTATTTTTTTGGTACTGGGGATCGAACTCAGGACCTTTCGCTTGCAAGGCAGGTGCAGTGCCAAATCCCTGGCCCCAGATGGTATTATTGATTACTTGAGCCCTCAGCTTCCTCAATTTTAAAATTAATTGAGTAACTTGATTTCTAAAGTTGCTCTTGAGTCTAACTTCTATGAGTGTGTGATTCGGTGAAGTAGAGATTTAAGTGATCACTGGTTGATTCTTCTTATTGGCTCTTTTAATTACTCTTTAAAAAACCACTGTATGCCACACATACTTGAAAGTATGTAAATTAGGCCCCTGATTTTTAATATTCTATTTTCAATACCTTTACACAATATTTGTAAATAATGTGTAAAAGCAACATTTAGAAATCCTCATAGCCTAATCTAACTCACGGGATCACAGCCCCCTAGCAATCACTGTGTTGACAGTGGGCCACAGATGAAGTGCAGCTGTGTCCAGCTCTAGATTACAGGTGTATCTGCTCCTCAGCCAGGCAGGCCTGTGACGGCCGAGTCCCCAGGGGCCATGAGTAGCTATGTCTGCTTACCGAGATCGGCTGTAAATCTTTCTGTATTACTATCCTCTTAGTGTGCTATGACATGAAATAATTGAGAATCACAGTCTCTATGGACTAAGTGAACAAATGATTTTCATTTCATGGTGCTTAATATGAATCAAGTGGACTAAAGTATTTTGGTTTGTGGATATATAGGTTTTTCCTTCTAAACTTTGCTAGTTTATCAATGATAAGTCTGGATTTTAGTAAAGGCTATAGAATCATTTTCCAAATCTAAGAGTAGTATGTTGGTTGTCTATTCAGTTGAATTTGTACAACCCTAATTAGAGGTATAACTGAGAGTTTTATGTAAACAAATCAGCTTTTAAAACATATTTTATTAGTACATGTTTGCAGTACCTAATGATCACATTCATCCTGGGGAGTAGGTACATGGACATGACATATCTTAATTCTTTTTATTTCCCTTCCCTCCTCTTTCTCCATCTCTAGATGCCCATTCATTCCCCTTCCCATTTGCAAAAGATCTATCTCCCTGCTTCCTATTGTCTTATATTTTATTTTGTTCTTTAAGTTATTTATACCTTGGGTTTCTCATATAATAGAAGTTATGCAGTATTTAAGCTTGTGTCCTAACATAATGGAGTTCACACTTAACACTTAACATAACCCTTAACATAATGGTCTCAAAGTGCATCTGTTTTACTAAAAATGATTCAAGTTTATCCTTGTATATGGAACAGTAATACTTCATTATGTATAAATAGATTTTTTTATTCATTCATCTGTTGATTGATATAAGCTGCTTCTATGACTCAGCTATTATGAGTTGTTTTTCTACAAACATGTGTATTCATGTATCACTGTAATATGATGGCTTTAACTCTTTCAAGAAGATACCTACAAGGGGAATGCCTGGGTCCAATAGTTGTACTTGTTTACATTCCCACCAGTAATATAGTAGAACCCTCCCACATGCAACCTTGCCATTATTTGTTATTATTTGATTTCTTGATGATAGCCATTCTTTTCTGGAGTAAGATGAAGTCTCAGTGTTGCTTTAATTTCCATTTCTCTGATAGCCAGAGAAGTTGGACATTTTTTCGTATATTTATTGGCCATTTGTACTTCTGAGAGATGTTTATTCATTTCAGTTGCCCATTTTGGGGGTCCTTTATTTTGGTGGGTCTGATATTTTTTAGTTCTTTATATATTCTCCATATTAGTCTTCTATCTGAAGAGTAGCTAGCAAAATTTTTTCCCATTCTGTAGGTTGTCTCTTCACTCTGTTTTTTTCCCCTTGCTGTGCAGCTTTTTTTTTTTTTTTTGGTACCAGGGATCGAACTTGGGTCCTTACACTTTCAAGGCAGGTGGTGGAACCACTGAGCTAAATCCCTGGCCCCAAAAAGCTTTTTAATTGGATATGATTCCTTGTTTGTTTTTTTGTTTTGGTTTTTTGAGACAGGGTCTCACTATGTAGTCTAGCCTGGCCTTGAACTCATGGCAATCCTCCTGCCTCAGCCTCCCAAGTCCTGGGATTATAGGCATGTGCCACTATGCCTGTCTATGATTTCATTTATTGATTCTTGATGATATTTCTTGTGCAATAAGTGTTCTGTGCAGACTCTTTGTATATCCTGATGTCTTTAGAAGTTTTGCCTATTTTATCTTCCAGCAGATTAAGTATTTCTGTTTTAACACTTAAGTCTTTGACCCTTTTTTTTTTTGTACCGGGAATTGAACTTGGGACCTTGCGCTTTGGAGGCAGGTGCCAGAACCACTGAGCTAAATCCCTGGCCCCTTTGACCCATTTTTATTTGGGGGGATACATGGTGAGAGATACGGGTCTGCACTCAGTCTTCTGTATGTGCATAACCAATGTTCCCAGCAGCATTTGCTAAAGAGGCTTTCTTTTCTCCATGCCTGCTTTTTATCATTTTGTCAAAGATCAGATGGCTTAATGCGCCTCAGGTTGTTTCTACACCCTCTACTCCTGCTTTGCTCTTGTTGCCTAGGATTGCTTTTGCTATTCTGGGTCTCTTCTAATTCCATATAATTTTAGGATTGATTTTTCCAGTTCTGTGAGGAATGCTGTTGGTATTTTAACTGGGATTGTATTAAATCTATATATCAGTTTTGGTAGTATGGACATTTGGATGAACAAATAATTTTTCAAAATTCCTATAAAGTGTAGAAACTTTGAGGACTGAATTTTTTTTTAAAGGCAAAATTCCTATTTTCAAGTGAAAATAGAAATCATATTTGCGAGAGTATAAAAGGAAAAAGATAAAATGCCTGTAAATTAAGAAAGACAGTTTTTTCTTATAAATAAACACACACCCATATTTCTGTTTGGGAGTTGGTTTTGCTATTGTCATTGTATTCAGCACGAAAATTTTGCAATTAGGTAAAAATAATGGCCATGTTTAGAGAATAGCAATATTTTCTAAATATATTTAAGTTCTTTCTTTGGATGTGAAATACAAAATCAATGATTTGGGGTTTATTACTTACCCTTTTTCAGGAAAAAAAAAAAGTTCAGGTAGCGTACTGGTACCTTTTGAAGGATTCCAGGTTTTTTTTAATCATCGAGCAATTTATACCATAATAAAATCCACTTGAATCCTGGGAAATTATAAAAGAGGAACCCATTTCAGTTTTTCATTTCCATGACTAATGAGAAATTCCTAACATTCTTTAATTGACCTGGAAACCTTAAACTCCCTTAAATATAGTTTGGAGCTGCATGTCTGCTGAGGCGATTTCATGTTCCTACTTGCCCCCATGAATTTCACTGTACTCACAAGTTGTAATTACACATTTATTTGTATAGTTCTTTATTTCTTCAAATCTCTCATTAACCACAGGTTGTTGTTTGTCTTCTTCCAAATATAAATCAGACTCTTCTGGTTTCTTGAAAAGGCCATGTTTTTCTAATATTTTAAACCTAGGATGGCTGTCGACTGAGGGAAAGAAAAACAGTAGTTTTGGTTAGGAGATGTAATTAGGAATATGTACACACATACCAAAAATCAAAATAGTGCCTATTGGTAAAAGGTTTTGTTTGTTTGGTACCAGAGATCAAAATCAGGACCTTGTGCTTGCAAGGCAGGCGCGGAACCACTGAGCTAAATCCCCGGCCCTGGCAAAAGGTTTTCTTCTCTCACATATAGGAAATCAAGAGTCAAGGTGTCAGGGCTGGAGCATTAGTTCCTAAGGGAGCCATGTTTCATTTCTTCTTCTGCTGTACCGTGGAGCATTCCATTTGTAAGAGCACTTCATGGTCCAAGATGGCTGCTGAAGCGCCAGCCATTGACAGGTGGCCGGCCACAATCTTTAATGGGATCATCCCAGAAGTTTCACACAATCATTTAATTACATTTTGTTGGAACAAATTAACTCATAGGGGTATACAGCTGCTAGGGAAAAAAAAAAACCCTTTTTTGATTTTTTATTTTGAGATAGGGTCTCACTAAGTCACTAAATTGCCCAGGCTGGGCTCAAACATGTGATCCTCCTGTTTCAGCTTCCCAGAGAGCTGGGATTCAAGGTGTGTGCCACCATATTTGGCTCACATACTTAGGGTTTTTCTAAATATGAGATTCTATTAAGGGTATACTCGCTGATCAACGTAATAGTATTCTAAAATTATTAGGAAACATCATTCACACTGTAACTCACTATATTCCTATTTTGAGCATACAGAATGAGTAAGTAAACCTGAAACCAATATTCTGTTTGCTTCAGTTATAGTGAAAAGTAGCAAGGAAAAGGTTTAGAACTAGGGCAAAATACGTCTCTTCTTTGCTTGTCTATGGATTAAATTAGTTTATACATTTTTAACATCTGTGTCCCTGAATGACTGAATTGGCAGTTACTTACAAGATAATGAGGTAAAATGAAAAATAACTGATTTACTAGAGGAAAAATCCACCAGCCTCAGAATCAGAAAACCTGCGTGCAGATTTCAGCTAAAGCTTTCTCAGCTTCCTAGCGCAGTGATACAGCACTTTCCCGTGCAAGCTGTAAAGAACAGATTTGACCATTTACACCAACAGACGCTGATGCCTTGTGAGCATAGGAGCTATTTTATCCTTGAAAGAACACATATATCTTCTACCTGGATTTAAGGTGTAAGAAACTGTTGAAACAGTTGACAGATATGATTCGCCATTCAGTCATTATCAACATAAGGTTAGGCTTTCAGAGGATAACAGAATACATACAAGGGGAAAGTACTAGGTAAGAAATAGTCGTCTAGTAACTAAGTTAGAAATATTTGACTCTCGTCTACCTTGACTTCAAAATATGGCTCTTTGCAAGATTTTTTTGGTTTTGTTTTTGTATTTTTAAGGATTTAACCCAGGGCCTTCACACTAAGCTACATGCCCAATCCTTTTTATTTAGTATTTTGAGACAAGGTCTCATGAAGTCTGTAAGTTCTGCAGACTGGACTTGAACTTGTGATCCTCCTGTTTCAGCCTTGTAGTTGGTTTTTATTTGAAAAAGATTAACATTAGACTCCACTGTAGTGTTCAGAGTAATGTTAACACAAATAGAACATCACTCACGTTCTGCGGGGAGCCTGGGGCCTCTCGAAGTGTGCTGTCACCCTACCTTTAGGGTGAGGGCCCTTGCAGCCAGTCTTGTCTAGAGCTATGCATTCTAAGGCAGGGCTTTTTTTATCCCTCCATTAATTTTGTCACTAGTGCCTAATGGAGTGCCTCACACAGGTGCTCAGCAAAGGGCTGCTCAACTAAGATGTTTATGGCAATTAGAACAAATGGAATTGAATGAGAAATGGCAGATACTATTGACATTTAGTCAAATATCTTAAGAAAAAAATTCCTGTTAAATATAGAAAATGCCAAAGTAGGAATGATTCCTTGAGACTTAATCCAAAACCCAGCCTCCTTCCCTAACTTTATTTATCTAACACTGTCAACCAGCCAGGAAAAATACACAAACACAAGCAAACACAGAAAGGAATCTCATAAGCCTATGAAGCACCCAGACCCAAACATTGCCACAATGGCCATGCACGAAAGCCACCAACATAGCCCACTTGAGAGAGACCTTCATGTCTTCGCTCCAAGTTGAAACACAGGTCTAAAATGCTACTTTACTGGTATCTCCTTAGCATATTAGAAGGGAGGAGAAATGATGAGAGGTTAAGAAGTAGAAGAGATCATTAATAGCAAAGGGGGTAAAAACACCACTATGAAAAGCATCCATGGCTCCTAGGGCAGAGAAGGTGAGCCAGTCCCAGCATCCAGGAGGAGGCTCTCCTGCCACCATTCCATGCTCCCTGGGGCAGAGAAGGTGAGCCAGTCCCAGTGTCCAGGAGGAGGCTCTCCTACCGCCATTCCATGCTCCCTGGGGCAGAGAAGGTGAGCCAGTCCCAG